TAGTCAGATCTGGGCTGTGGTGACTGTAGAAAAGAATGAGGGGGAAAGAGACTGTGTCACCATGAACAGGGTCATAGGATTATAGATTTAGAATTGGAAGGGACCTCGGAAGTCATCTATTTTATAGGTGAGGAAACTGAGGTCCACAGAGATTTAAGTGGTGCCGAAGATCACACAGGATCAAGACTTGAGCCCAGCTCCTGACTGTAACCCTACCATTCACTCCATGCTACTTTGCTGCCTTCCCTGGAGTTGAGACTAATAAGGAAGCTGCTGTGCAGGACACAGAGGTTAAAGCTTTTGAGTAACCACCATAGGAATAGAGAGAAGGGGATGATTGAACAAGAGAAATTTTGAAGGAATGTTTAAAGGGTATGAGGTGATTCAATTCAGCAAATAATGATTGTGTATTTACCATGTAAGAAGAAAACAAGCATTTATTAAGCTCTGACTATTTTCCAGGCACTGTGCCAAGCACTTTATGTATGTTAATATATTTGATGCTCACAATAGCCTTGGGAGATAGGTGATAATTATTATCCCCATTTTACAGTTAAAGAAACCAAGATGTTAAGTGACTTGCCCAGGGTCACACAGCTAGTAAGTATCTGAGGCTTGATTTGAATGCAGGTCTTCCTGACTGCAGGCCCAGAACTCCACTATACCACCATGCTGCTTGTAGGTAACTATAAATCTCTACATTGGATAATAAGGATTTCAAAGCACTCTACAAAGTTATAGGCACCTATCATATGTAAGATGGTGTTACTATTAGAGTCTGCTACTTAGCCACAACCCCTGGGCTCTAGGATATATGTTTCAGGAATCACTCCATGTCACAGAATTTAGCATTAAAAGGGACTTTAGAAGTATTTAGTCTGACTCTCTCATTTTCCAGAGGAGGAAACCTAGGACCAAAGTGATGGAGTGATCTGACCAAGCTCAATTAGATAATAGTTAAGTAGCAGAGTCAAGATTTGAACCCAGGTCTTCTAACCCCATATCCAGTATACTTTAAGGAAACAGCCATCTGATGATGATTGTCATGATGGGGGAATAGGACTCTTTGGGGATGATTATGGCAGGAGCATTCAGAATTTAAATATATGGCAAGAGATCTACCCATATTCTTGCTTACATGAGCACATCTTTCTCAGGTTTCCTATGAAGACTCATTGGCGGTCACCCAATTGTAACATCACTATTGGGAAGCCCAGGGATCTGGAATCAGGACCTTCATTCCTTCCATCTTTATTAAGTGCCTGCTATATGCACAGCCCTGATTGTACACTAGATAAGACTTGATTCTTGCCCTCATGCAGCTGAGTCAGTAGGAGGATAAGACGCTAACACAATATTACAAGTATGTTAGAGAGTTACTGAGTACTATGTAAAATTGAGAAAGTTAGTGCTGATGTGGGAAAACAGAGAAGGCTTCCTGGAGGAGATAACTAGCATTTAAATTGGTCTTTTTCAGGATTTAAGTTTCCAGCTTTAAGTTATGCCCCTAGGGAATACAACCAAATGAGATGTATAGAAACTGGAAGTGGGACTTCTTAGCCCTAGGTTATGGATTAAGATACTGAGTTTTAGGTGTTGAATATGTCCAGACATGAACCCTGCCTGTGCATTAGATTAGTGCATGGGGGGAGAGGAAGTAAGGAGTCAGCCTGTGGTGGTTCCAGGAAGTGGCTAGTGGAGGGTGGTCCCCAGGGTTGAGGAAGTATAAATAACTGAGCTGCAGCCTCCAGGAATGCAAGGGTATATGTGGGGGAATTTCTTGATGAGTACAATGTAGAATTCAGGGTTAGGCTGGAGCCAAGGTATTTGCATCCAGGTTAGGGGAAGGAGATACATACTGGCAACGGCAAAACTGTATTATGGGAAGATCTGAGGTCATTCTGGCTTGGGAATTGAGACTCCCAGAAGTGGTCAGACCTGAGCTACCAATCTTAGGCATAGCATCCACACCACAGGTGATAATAATCCCACTATATGTGCCCTAGTCAAGTTGCATGTGGAGAATTCTGTTCTGTTCTGGGTACTGTATTATAGAAGAAACATGGATAGGCTGAAGTGTATCCAGAAAGGGTGGCCAGATTACTGAGAGGACTAGGGAACATGTTATAAGAAGATCATTTAAAGAAACTGGGGATATTTAACCTGGAGAAGAAAAGACTTGGGGAAGTGAGGATATGATAGCTGTCTTCAGAATATTTTAGAAGACTAGTGTGTGGAAAAAGGATTTGATTTCTGCTTGGCCCTAGATGGCAAAGGAGGGGAGGTATAAGCAGGCTGATTTAGGCTTGATGCAAGGAAAATCTTCCTATTAGAGTTGTCAAAGGGTGGAATGGACTGTTCTGGGACATATTTCCCATTACTGGAGATGTTCAAATGGAACATCCTTGTTGGAGCTGTCATAGAGGAGATTCCTGTTTACTTATGGGTTAGGCAGGTTGCCCTCTGAGCTTCCTTCCCCCTCTTGAGAATCTGTGGTTCTCTTCAAATGGAGATTCTATTGTTTTGGACCCAGGACCAGTCATTTCTTCAGGATGTACTGGAGCCTGAACATAATCCTGTTAATCCTTGGTACCCTATGTAAGCCCTGGGGGTTAAGGGTTCTAGTACCAGGGCTCCCACCTGTCTTAACTGTGACCTTCCTCTGAATTTGTTTCCAATGATAGTTCCAAGGGAAAGGGGTGTGTGTGTGTGGCGGGGGGGGGGGGTGATTTTCTTCACATAATCGTTGCTTGTTGAATGAATGACTACTCCTTTCTATAGTGCGCTATAATGTGAAGTCAAGGACCTGGGTACCCAAGAGGAGAGTGTGTGTGTGTGTGTGTATGTGTGTGTGTGTGTGTGTGAGAGAGAGAGAGAGAGACAGAGAGAGACAGAGAGACAGAGAGAGTCAGTCAGTTGTTGGCAGGCACTTGTATATACACATGTAGTGATAAGAGTCTTGCCAGCTCATTTGGGTTCTCTTCTCCCATGCTCTCAAAGCCTTCGTGTCTCTAGTTGAATACGTATCTGTATTTCCACTTTGCTGGGAATATCCAGGGTGTGTGTGCATATGCATGTTTCCATAGGATTTAGAGCTAGAAGAGACCTTGTAGGCTATCAAATTCAATCCCCTCAGTTTACAAAGGAGGAAACTGAGGCCCAGATTGAAGAAGTGACTTCTAAAAGGTTGCATAGATAGTAACAAAAGTGAAATTTGAAAATAGGTACTTTAACTCCAAATTCATTGCTCTTTCCACCATACTATATTATCTCACCTTCCAACCCAAGTACCTAAGTACCTAAGCAAGTGTCTCTTTCTCCTTCTGAAGGTTGTCAAGGCAAGCTAAAGTGTTCAAGATCTTTAAGGATGGTGTGACTTTAAGTGGAGTACCAAGGGTATACGTAAACATGTCTTACTGGAGACAGTGTGGTATGGTTGAAAAAATGCTGGATTTGGAATCAGAGGACCTGATCAGAGGGTTCAATCAGAGGGTTCAAAGCTGGGTCCATCACTTACTATGTGACTTGGGCTAGTCACTTAAACTCAGTTTCCTTATTTGTAAAATTAGAAAGTACCTCTAAGGTACCCTTCCATCTTTAAATCTATGATCTATGACCCTTCCCAATGTGATCCCATCTCTTACTTGTCTACTTTTGATGATTTCCATAATGGGGGCTGTCTGAAGTCTTTAGACCCTAGGACATCTGAGGGTGTCTGGAGGGCCCAGATTCATTATATTCCACTTTCCTTGTCTCCCTCCATTATCCAGGAGAGGCTAGATGACCACTTGTTGGGAATGTTGTAGTTTCTGATCAAGAGTAGGTTGGAGCTCATACTGTCTGAAGTGCTCCTCAGCTCAGAGATACTGTGATTATAACCATTTCTCTTTCTGTCCTGATTATTGGTATGATAGGAAATGGGAGCTTTGAAGGTGTTGGGAGCCTAGGAATCCTAGGGTATAAGGGGAGCTAGGTGGCAGAGTGGATAGAGTGGATAGAGAATCAGGAAGACTTGAGTTCAAATCAGTCCCTGGACACTTACTAGCTATGTGACTTTGGGCAAGTCACTTAACCTCTGATTACCTCAGTTTCCTTATCTGTAAAATGGGGATAATAATAGCACGACCTCCCAGGGTTGTTATGAGGATAAAATGAGATAATCATTGTAAAGTCCTTAGCACAGTGCCTGGCACAAAGAAGGGCTATATAAATGTTAGCTATCATCATCGTAATCATTATGTAGGGATGGATGTCCCAAATACTTCCCCACATGACCTTGCCCTTGCCTACTTCTATAGGTTGTCCTGGAAGTTTGGGGGAGAGTTAGGATCATCCTGGAGGATGCAGGTGTATTAGGCAGAGGGAGATTCAGGATTTTAGCTACATCCCTTCTCACCTGATGATTTTTCTCTCTCCTTCCTTCCCTCTGACTCCCCAAGAAATGAGGAGAGGGGACAGGGGAGGGGAGTTCTTCACAAATGATAGTGTGGCAGAAGCACTGAATTTAGGTTAGGTGGTCTGGCCTGAAATCTTAGATCTTGGTACTTTGGTAAAATCACTTCCCCTTCTTTAAACTTCAATCTTCTCATTTTAAAAATGTTGGGGAAGGTGGGGATTAGACTAGACGGTCTCCAAGGTCCCTTTCAATCCTAAATCCTCTGTTCCCTTCTGCATCCCATGCTCACTCACCTCAGAGGGCGACGGGGGCAGTGCTTAGGATTCTAGGGTCATCTAGTGGGAAAGTATGGTATGTAGGATGATAGCATGATGTAACAATGCAAGAAAACTAGATTTGGAGTCGGAGGACCTGCTTTACATTCTGGTTCAGATACTTATCATACTGACTTTGGGCAAGTTCCTTCCTCTCAGTTTACCCTTCTGTCAAGTCAGGGGGTTGGACTAAGTGAGTTTTAGGGTTCCTCCCAGTTCCAGATCCTGTCCAAACCCCTCCAATCCTGATGGCAAGTCTCTCTTTCTTTCCCTGTGTCTCTTGTATACAGGTTGAAACATTGGCTGCCACTGTGGGGGCTCTGGCTGGGACAGGCAAGGAAGGCCACAGCTGCACCCGCCGCAGCCGCCACGATGCAGAGCATCAAGTGTGTGGTGGTAGGCGACGGGGCAGTGGGCAAGACGTGCCTTCTCATCTGCTATACCACCAATGCCTTCCCTAAGGAGTACATCCCAACAGTGTTCGACAACTACAGTGCCCAAAGCACTGTGGATGGGCGCACAGTCAATCTGAACCTGTGGGACACAGCAGGCCAGGAAGAATATGACCGGCTACGCACCCTGTCCTATCCCCAGACCAACGTCTTTGTCATCTGCTTCTCCATTGCCAGCCCACCTTCCTATGAGAATGTGCGGCACAAGTGGTACCCGGAAGTATGTCACCACTGCCCTGATGTGCCCATCCTGCTCGTGGGCACCAAGAAGGACCTGCGGGCCCAGCCAGATGCCGTAAGACGGCTGAAGGAGCAGGGCCAGGCACCCATCACACCCCAGCAGGGTGTAGCCCTGAGCAAGCAGATCCATGCCGTTCGCTACCTCGAGTGCTCCGCACTGCAGCAGGATGGCGTCAAAGAAGTGTTCGCTGAGGCTGTCCGGGCCGTGCTCAATCCAACACCACTCAAGCGAGGCCGCTCCTGTTTCCTCTTGTGACTCCCCAACCTTGGGAGGGGACAGATACCCCTCCCCACCCCTGCTGGCCCTGTCGTGGGGCTTGTCATCTGTTTGTCCATCTTCCTGAGCCCCTTTTCCCCCCCTCTCACCTCAGCCAGATGTGCCTTGATCCCCTTCTCCCTTCTAGGTCTGATTGGCTCCTCTTTCTCCCTCCAGCCACGTGCCCCCCAACCAGTGTCCATGCCCTCTCCATCAGAGGAAGGGAGAGAGGGATAGGGGCAACATTCCTGGCCCCCTTTCTCTGGGCAGTCTTTACATTCAGTTCAGTGAACATTTATTTACCAGTGTCCTACTATGTGCAGGGCCCTGTTCAGGTGCTGGGAATTCAGAGATGAAAAATGATATAGTCCCTGCTCTCCTGGAACTTACAGTCCACTGTCCTTCTGTCCCTGGCACTCAGAGCTGAAGAGGTCCTGTTGTGGCAGGAGGTCTGTTTGTGGGGAGGGCCTTTTCCAGCTCTCCCAGCCCATCAGTTTTCAATGAGCTTCCTTGGGCCAACCCTCAGGGGACTTTCTGAGCTTCCCTAGGTCTAGGGCACTTCTGGAAACCCATCCAACCTTCTGCCCATCCCTGCTCCAGCCTGGCTACCATGCTCAGGACACACCCCACCCCTCTTGCCAGGACAGGAGCATAGGATCCTGAGAAGAGAGGGAGTCAGCCAGCACCTGCCCACCTGAGGAAGGGGCAAGGAGAGCCAGCTGCCTCCCAATCCCCCATTTACAAACCCACCAACGGACTTTGCCCATATGCTCTGGGGGTCTGGAAGGCATGGGAGGACTTGTCCTATCCCACCAGCCCCCTCAACCCTCTCCCTGTGTGCATTAATAAAACCTTGTGTTCAAGACCCAACTGTTCCCTTTGTAGTGGGGGGAAGGGAGCTGTGCAGGGAGAAGTTAGGGGGGTTTTGGGGGGGTGGAGAGGACCTTCAAGACTAGGGTGTGTGGTAGCATTGGTTGAGGACTGGTGGGGTGGGATTCCTTGGCAACTGGAAGCTGTTTTTAACAAGCCTGTAGGTCCACAGAAGAGCCTCTGTTGTCACCAATTTCCCTTCCCACCCCCAACCACCATTTCCTTAACAGTAGGGCAGGTGCAGCCATACCCAGATGGGTAGAGCAGCTCTTGAGAATGACCCTTGGCGGAGAGAGACTTCTGTTTTGAGCTTTCCCCCTTCCCAGGACATCCAGCCTTCTGCCACCCTGAATGTGCCCTGTTTCTTATATTCCTTCTTCAGGGGTAGTCTTCCTCCCAATAAGTAGAATTTGAAACATAAAGACTCTTCAGATTCCCCAGTGCCAAGGATCCTGAGCACTGGGTCCAGGCTACCTGTAAATGTCCAAAGAGTTGTTAATCTTGTCACTTGACCCAAGAGGTTGAATACCTGTATGTTTCTGGCCTGAAGGAGGGGAGATCAATCATAAGATTTGGAGCTAGACTAGAAGAACTTCCTGAATGAAGGCAAGAAAATAACTACAACAATATTGGCAATATTGACAACTAAATGTTTTGCCACAGAAATATTAAAAGAACAGGGAGGGAGAGGGTGTCAGCTACCAGAGCTGAAGACCATCTTGTCTAACACCTTTCATTTTACAAAGAAGTAAACTGAGCCACCCAAAGGGGAAGAACCTTGCCTGAAGTCACTTACTAGGTTAATGGCAGAACCTGGACTAAAATTCAGGTCACCTGACTCAATACTCTACCAGGGCAAAAGTACACAGTGTAAGCTAACAAAGGACCTTAGAATATAGAGTACTAGATGCCACTCTAATTGGGGGCCTAGGTTCACTCTAGAAGGAAGGCCTAGTTCCCTGGAATCCTGCATGCTAATACTTCCAATTACACCTATGGGCACTAGGTACCTGTCACAGGACTCAGTTTTATCACTGAAAACAAGGGGCACTCCCCAACCTTCAATGTTCCCAGAACACATGGTCCTAGCCTAGACAGGGTATTGGCCAAAAAAAAAAAAAGTTTTCCTTAAATGTACAACCACAGTGTCCCTTAGGGAGGGAGAACATGATTCTACAGAATAAGATGAAATTTGGAGGGGGAGACAGAATTCCCTGGGTGGGAATGGGGATGAAGAGGAATCCTCAGGAATGGAAATCAGTTGGCCAGAGTTAGGATGAGTAGAAGACTGATAGTGATGGGCAGAAGTAGCCCAGCAAACTCAGGGCTGAGTATACCTGTTCATCTGTTGTTCATCATAAATTCCAGTCTATAAAGATTTGTACTAGGCAGAGAAAAGAAATCCAGAATATCTGGGACAAGTTCTGTGGGGGGAAATAAAGACCATGAAAATAATCTGGTGCCACTCAGGAAGTAGGGCCCCACTTAGGGCAAACCATACTGTGACATCACCATCCCCCAAAATGGAGCCAAGACAACCAGTGTTGGGGTGGGTGGGGCCTTAGAGGTCATCTAATCCAAACCTATTACTTTACGAAGAAGCTAACTAGTTCCTAGTTACAGCAGTAACTAGAACCAGGCAAACGGACTTCCAGTTCTAGATCCGTTCCCAGGGGCAATTCAAAAGGGAAAAAGTCACCATTTTGGGAAGGGGAATAATAGTGCTAGTAGGCAGCAGTCCAGCACTTAATGTTGTAGTGATGGTGCAACGTGGGAGATTTTTCAGGCCTGATTATGTGTCTCATTTGGTTGGGGTACCTCTTCCTCCTCCTCTATTCATGGCCTCCCTGTGTCTAACCCCAGTGAGCTGGTCCGCTACACCCTAAAGTTGCCTAGGCTTCATACCTGAAGCTGTCCTGGAAGCTGGACACCATACACATGGGAGTAGAGGTTGGGAGAATGGAGGGGAGGAGCCTGGGGCAAGGGACAGAGGTATCTCTTGGCTGACCCTTCTACCCCCTCCCCCCTTTCCTCTTCCCTCCCTCCGCCCAGGGCCCAGCAGAAAGAGGACACAGAACCAGCTGAGGGCTAGAGTTCTATATTTTCTCCATCAGTTTCTGGGATGGGTGAATCTGAAGGATAGGGCAGAGAGTGCATTCTCTGTCCCCTCTGCACCCTTCTAATCAGGCTGGGTCTTCTCCAACATGGTCCAGCCCAGCTCAGAATCTTTTATCTTCTGTTGGAGAGGTAATGAACACCTCTTTGTTCCCGAAGTCCCAACAGGCAGTCATGTGGAAGGCCATGTTAGTCAGAACCACGGTGTACTCAAGGACCGCAAAGATGGTGTACACTGAGGGTGGGGGAAAAGGAAGGCAAGTGAACAAAGGGGCCCAGAGAGCTCTGCCTACTACCCACCCCAGTGCAGCCTGGGAGATCAACATGGGAATTTGAGAGTTAGTGCTGGAAAGGACCTTAAGGGAATATTCTAATCTAATCCCCTTATTTTATGGAAGAGGAAAATGAGGTGCTGAGAAGTAGTGATTGGTCCAAGCTCCCCAAAGGGGACCTAGTTCTCCTGACTCAATTCCAGGGCTCTTTCCACCACACTGTGCAACAATCACCAAGATGCATCAACACACCCTCTATCAAAGACTACCATTAAACTAGAGACCAATGCCCCCATTGTGGTCTCCACCACTCTTCTGATCCAAACTTTCCCTTGGAGAGAAGCCAGACAGGTCCCTTGCCCATTGCGCCAGCAGGAACAACCCTGGATCAGGCCCCAACCTCACCTCCTGGTTCACAGTACATGTTGTGTCGGAAGTAGACAGCTAGGGCCATAAAGAAAGAGACAAAGTTGACAATAAAAAGTCGTTGTTTCCAGCTGTAGGACTTACGTTCCTAAGGAATAGATAGATAACTGGTTACTTGGAGGGTCCTCCAATGGGTAGGGGGGTCCTCCAATGGGTAGGGGGATCCCCCAAGGGCAAGGTTGTTTTTCCCACCCCCACTGCCCAGAACAAAGGTACCTGACCCCAGCAGGCATAAGTATTCTTAGTGTATGTGTTGGGGGTTAAGTGTGGGGAACCATGCAGGATATAAGCCTGTTGCTTTTCCCTGGCCTCATGAGGGCCTTCTCTTCCAGAGAACCCACAGAAACTGAGCCATCTACCAGCCCAGGCCTGAATCTGAATGGATCCTCGACTCTGGGCTCCCTGGGCCTGGCCCTAGTATTGGCCTCCCCCACCTTTGAAGCCACCCAGAGCCACTGCCGCTAGGACTCCCTCCTCTGCAGTTACCGGGGAAGGAGGAAACCACAGGGGAAAGAGAGGGGGTGGAGGAGCCGTTAGGGCGGCCACATCCCCATCCCCCATTACCCGCCTGCACCCAACCAACGTCTTCCTGTCATTCAAACGTGGAGGCCTGCCCTATGGCTTCCAGGGCCCCAGGTCCTACAGTCATCTAGGTCTTCACTCTGTCTTCATCTCTGTACTTCCCTATGCCCCAATTTCCCCTTTCCCCAATCTTCCATCTTCTAAACCCTCCACTTTCCATCTCATCATTCCATTTCTCTGTTGCCCATATTTTATCTCCATTCCTCATCTCCATGTGTCTAATCCCATCCATCTCCCCATCCCTTCATCCTTCTATCTTCCATCTCTCCAAACCACACCCCACCCTCATCCCTGTTCATGGAGTCTTTGGTTCAGGCAATGTGAGGCCTGTCCAGTCCCAGACACTAGGACTACTTGCCTCCCTCGAAGGGGAAGACTTGTGCAATACAGAAGGCGTTGGAGAAAGTTTCGTTGCTTGGGGGTACAAGAGAACCCCTGATTGCCATCCTGCAATTAACTTCTGCAGAGCTGAGGCAGTGGGGGGTAGGGCTTCCACTTTCCTCCTCAGTGCTTCTACCCCCATATCTTTTCCCCAATCTGGCCTGGAGCCAATCGGCTCCCACCCAGAAGGCTCTGGCTAGGAACACATTGCCCCCTGGTGTCCACATCCCACCTATGCCCTCAGACTAGACAAAGAAAAGGATTTTAGAGTGGGAGAAGCAGATGTGGGAGACAGGTGAATAGTCAGGATACTGATTCAGTGAGGGATATGGCCCAAGAGGCAAAGAGAGAGCCAGAGAGAGGCAGCCAGAGACCCACAGAAATGGTCAGAAGCAGTGGAAGATACAGTGAAAGCCAGAGATCTTAATTTTGATAGCCAAAGAAGATGGTGATGATAAGGATGTACATTTCTCTAATGGTCACGTTTTTTCTAAGATTGACAAATTATTTAGCACACGACAACCCTGTGAAGTTGTACCTGGTTTAAGACTTTATAGATGAGGTTACCGAATCTCAGAAAGATGAAGTGACGCTTAAGAGATGGCCAGAGAGACTGAGAGATATTGAGACAGACAGAAATGGCTTTAGGCAGAGACAGAAATGCCAAAAGATAGCTAAAGGGCATTCAATAAGGCTGAAGGAAACATGTGCCTAGGAAACTCCAGACACCCCCAAGCAGAAATACCTTCTGGCAAGTCCTCCCAAGTTCTGTCATTGCTTGTAACCTCACCTCACACATTTCTTGGGGTTCTATCCCCCCCACATCCCACCAATAATTCTTACCTAAGTCCGTGACTCCTGATATTTCTGGCTTCTGACTTGGACTACTTCTCCCCACGGCCTGCCTTAGTACCCAGACCCCAGTGTGGATCCAGACTTTTATAGGCTCTCCTGATCCCCTGAGGGTTCCCACTTTCCATCCCATGCCCTATGTTCCTCTATATTCCATCCTCCCAATCCTGAGCTCTGTTGCCTCACCCCTTATTCTGCCTAAACCCAGTTCTCAAGCCCCCAAAGCCAAGAAGATAGAGCAGTGACATTTACCTCCAAACTTACTGTATGTTTCTTCGTCAGACGCCACAAGATACAGGTTAGCAGCATGTGGCCCAGAGCTGCTGCGATGAACACGATGAAGGCATTCTCATGGATGGCTGGAGAA